TGTTTGTTTTTTGTTTTTTTTTTTCTTTTTTTTTCTTTTATAATTGTTATTATATGCTAAGGTCTTCCTGAAAATTTGCTCAAATTTTATCTTAATGATAAGTTTTTTATCCTAATTATTTTAAGATTATTTCCTGCCAAAACATTGATAAGATTTTATGCTAAATGTGATCTTATGCTGAGTTTATGTTTATAATATGCCAAATTTGCACATGAATAATGAATGTTAAATTATCTTTTTTTTTTTTTTATTTGGTCAGATTTTATGCTAATAATGATTTTATTCTAAGTTCTTGTTAAAACTTTGCTCAGTGTTTATGCTAATAATGATTTTATGCTAAATGTGATTTTATGCTGAGTTTATGTTTATATTTTGCCAAATTTGCACACTAATAATGACTTAAATTATTATTATTTTTTTTTTTCATTTGGTCAGATTTTATGCTAATAATGATTTTATTCTAAGTTCTTGTTAAAACTTTGCCCAGTTTTTATGCTAATAATGATTTTATGCTAAATTTGTTTAAATAATTTTCTCAATTTTGTGGTAATAATGATTTTATATCATGTTCTTGCTGAAAATGTAAGTTTTTTTTGCTAATACTGATTTTACACTAATTTCTCGTTAAAACTTTGCTCAGATTTATGTTAATAATTGTAATGCCAAGTTCTTGGTGAGAAATTGTTAAGATTTTATGCTAATACAGATTCCATGCTAAGTTCTTGTTGAAAACTTAAGATTTTATGCTAATAATAATTTTATGCTAAGTAATTTTTTATAATTTATCAAATGTTATGCTACTAATTCTTTTATGCTAAATTATTGTTAATAATTGTTAATTTTTGGTAATAATTTGTTATTTTATGCTATATTCTTGTTCATTATTTGCTAAAATTGTATGTTAATAATGATTTTATGCTAGTTTCATGCTGAGATTTTATGTTCTTGATAAAAAAACAATTTGCAAAAATGTTATGCTAGTAATGATTTTATGCTAATAAAGTATGCCAGCGCTTGCTCAGTCAAGAGAGAGAATGAGAATAAAACTTTCCTTCTAACTCTGTACTCTTGAATGCTTGGAGGTGTTCTGCTTTCCTTTCTTCTGTGAAGGGGGCATGATGAGGTAATTCCTCATTCCGGATGTCATCACGTCTTTGGAGTTCTATGCAGCCCTAAACTCTCACACCCCACACTCCCTGGCTCAGCAAGCATGTCAGAGGAAGTTGCACTGGAATATCTCACTCCCCTAAAGAGAAAAGCTTCACAAGGCATCAAAATGCCTTTTTCCCAACCCATAATCCCTCTCTCACACCGATCACCTCCCCCACCCTCCAGTCTGCTCCAGATGAAGAGGTTTGACTGCTGTCCCGACTGTCATCTGTCTCTCTTGTTTCTTCACAGGGTGTAGGATAGATAACTGTGAGGCCTGCTTCAGCAAAGACTTCTGCACAAAGTGCAAGCCTGGTTTTTACTTGCACAAGGGCCGTTGCTTCGAAAAGTGTCCAGAGGGTTTTGCTCCTCTGGAGGACATCATGGAGTGTGGAGGTAAATAAACCTTTTTTTATATACAAGCCTACTGGAGAATCCAGATAAAGCTGGTGGCTGTTCTGGAACATGATAACTGGTTTGAAACTGAGCTAAGATGGTCATTATTTTTTCCAAGTTAGTCATTAGCATTAGGTAGACCATCTTAGACCAGCAACAAACCAGCAACCAACTGGTCAAACCAATTTAAGGTGGTAAAGCTGGCTTTTGGGACATAGTGGCTGATCAACCACCGAGTGACTAGCTAATGACCTTTTTCAACCAGCTAGAACCTGCTACTAAGTTTAAGCTAGATTTTACAAACATTGTCTGTTTATGATTCAGTCCACAAAATACATTAAAAATACTATTTTTGTAACCTAAAATAAATTGATATTGTTCATTAGGTCTAATATTGCTGTATTGTATCTTACCATATCCAGACTTTTCATAGTCTCTATCACTGGTTTTCATCATCAGCTAGTTCTCTAAATTCTAGTTCTATTTCACCCAATAGAGGGTTGTGAGGTGGGCCAGTGGAGTGAGTGGGGGACCTGCACCAGAAGAAACAAAACCTGTGGTTTCAAGTGGGGTCTGGAAACCCGAACACGGCATATTGTGAAGAAGCCACCAAAGGACACGATACCATGTCCAACCATCGCAGAGTCCAGGAGATGCAAAATGGCTATGCGACATTGCAGGAGAGGTGAGTGTGTGTAACTGGATAAGCATATATGGATCTCCTCATGCTTTCAATACAAGCCCTTGTTTAAGATACAAATCTTCCATTTCATCTGCAAATCATCAATTTTATTATCACTCAAAGAAGGAAATATCACTGTGGCCTTTTCGTCTGCATCTCACCTGTTTAATCTTGAGCTCTGTTTTTTTGGATTGAAAAGTCGGCCATCCAACCACAGCCCCTCGATTTGGGTTTTCAGTGTCGACTGGCATTTTCATTCATGATTTATTAGTGTTTTTCCATGCTCACGTTAGCCAGCTCGCCTTAGTTTTTTTCTCTCTCTTTTCTTGAAAGCGTATGTGTTCTCTCGCTTATTCTCCTCTCCTTCCAGTGGAATTCCTTAAAGTATGAAATGCAGGTTTCCTCAATGGTACTCTGTTTCCTTTCTCTATAAGAGAGTTATTTGCTGTAGGTGGTGCATGTATTTTACCACTAAAATGAGAAGTCAAATCGGAGGGAAAATATTTTTTGAGTAAATACAGCCAAGGAAACATATTTTATAAAGTGTTTAATTTTAGAAGAGATGGGCCAAGTTTACTCGAGAAATAATTACCGGATTCAGGAAGGCTTATCAGGGAAAACTTACGATGATAATTAATCGAGATGCTTCCTCGCAGCTTTTTTCGTTCTGCTCACCTGAACAAACTTAAAGGGGTCATATGACGTTGCTAAAAAGAACATTATTTGGTGTATTTGGTGTAATGAAATGTGTTTATGCGGTTTAAGGTTCAAAAAACACATTATTTTCCACATACTGTACATTATTGTTTCTCCTCTATGCCCCGCCTTTCTGAAACGCGTCGATTTTTACAAAGCTCATCGGAGCTTGCAACACTCCAAAGAGAAAGGAAAATTTGAAATCACATCATATCACCCCTTTAAATCTGAAGCGGTCACTGGCTTACGATACTGTCACACCAAGTACACATGTAATTTCAATTTCGGAGGTCAGTAAAGGACAGCACATTCACATTAAGAAAGTTTTTTGACTGATTATGGAAAAGTTAATTGTCAACCCAGAGACCTGAGGCAATACAAAGTTGAACTTAAAAGTTTCCACTGTTTATTTAGGTACCTCAGTCTTGTACTATATTTACATTTCCATAAAGTCCACCTCAGTATCAGGTCACAGCCACTGAATTTTGCTCTATGAGCTATTACCAGTTTTGAATGCATCGTTAAAGCTGAATCTATTCATCTTCACTCAAATCATTTGTAAATAAAAAAATGGCCTACATTTGTACACAGACACTATGACAGTTGCTTTAGAAAGTTGCTGATTGAGTGAATACGTTTCAGACATGTCACATGACACTTTTCCCCATCGAGTGGTTGTAAGGTGGAGAAGGAAATAGTTGGAAATAGTGATTTTCTGGCACGTTGTCCTTCTGTACCCTACATTGGCACTCTCCACAGGAATTTTTCCCTCCTCTTGACCTTTTCCAAGAGTATTTTATAGTCATCTTTAAATAAAAACTGGCATTGTGATGCATGGTTACTGCATCTCAATGATCTCATCTGAGGTCAGTGAGCCATTGTTAAATTCTTAACTGAACACGGAGTGAAGCTGTTCCTTTGTTACCTTTAGAAATCACTTTGCCATAACATCATTAAATTAGCATCTAACAATAGACAAAAGTTTTTTTTTTTCTAACTTATGGTTCTGTAACCATAAAGGCTGCTGTGTAATTTGCACCCTGACTAAGCATTTAAAGAATTTAGGGGAAGCATTTAAATAATCCTGTGAATGCACTCAAAGAATGCAGAATCGAATCGTTAATCGAATCGAATTTAATTGTGAATCGAATCGAATTGAATCGTGAATTTGCAAAAATCGTTCTTGAATTGAATCGAAAACCTATGAATCGTGAATCGAATCAATTCGCTGTCTACCCAAAGATTCACAGCCCTACTCACAAGGATCATTTGTTTATGAATTTGAATACTCTGGTCGTGCTGTATGTTGTTGGAAAAAAGAACCGATTGATAATAGTCATTTGTAAGTAAACCAGGCTACACTGGTCACACTGTATGATTTTGATTCACTAAAAAGAACTGCCTCCTAAGAGTCATTTGTTAGTTAATTGGACTACATGGGTTGTGAACTATATTTTTGTTTCATTAAGAAGAACGATTCATAAGAATCATTTGAAAGTGAATCAGGCTATACTGGTCACGTTTTTGATTCACTAAAAATCTGACTGTAAATCTGATTACACTGATTGTGTTCTATGTTGTATTTAAAGGGACATTGGATTAAATTTTCACTTTTTTGAGCTTTTTTTTTACATTTAGCTAGGTTTAGGGTGTGTGGTAGCTTAGAAAAGCTGAAAAAAAACACGCAAACAGTTCATGGGCTGTCTGAGTCTGAAACTGTGTCATCCAGCGAGCTGTTTGAATTTGCAGCAGGTTTCTACATAGATAGTTAGCTAACTGAATAAGACCACCTCTGAGTCATACATGGATAGATTCACATGTGTTGTGCCGACATGCCCCACGGAAGAGAGAAGTGGGGTGAGCAGTAGCTCATTATCATTTAAAGAGACATGCACCGAAATGGGTCGCTGTGAACAGAGCTGTTTTTGACAAGGTTGTTTTACACATTCATTGAGGAATTTTAACCAAAGTATGGTACAGACTTTTAATGAAGACCCTAAAGAATCATACCAACTTGTGGAAAATGGGCATGCAATGTCCCCTTTAAGGCAGTGCACTAGAACTTACGTTCACGGGATCTACTAGAGAAGTATTGCTAAAATTCTATAGATATTCTATGATGTTCTATAGAAATAACGTTGTTACGATCATTAGACGCGTTTCCATTACCCTTCAGATTGGGCAAATTGAAATTGAGAATTGAAAATACGCCCAATGGAAACACGTCAATTTCGCACAAACGCCCATATATCACAAAAAAGTTTTTACGCTCGCATGAGGTGGTTTTTCAGGCAATGCAAAAAAGGAATAATTCGCAAAACTGCAATTAAAACGTTTTTTTCGCATTTACAGGTCACATGGCGTATGTAAAAAGTCATATGATCATTCTTCAATGTACTGTAACCTCCAAGAAACACTTCATACGTGGCCGCTCTCCAGTATAAGGGGCTTTTCTACCATTAATGCTTAGACAGTTTACACTGTACACGTCTGCGGTGCAGTGTGGCTCTGATACGGCCACTGAAGCTGATTACGGCCACTCAATGCTTGTGTGTATTCCAGCCGCGCCACGCACGTTTCTGAAGCGGCTCTCTGTGCTGCTTCTGTAAAGATACACGCATACGCCTCCTTTGAATAAATATAGCCACAATCCATTAAAAACCCACCAAAATCCGTTGCCATGACTTAGCGCGAGAGGCAAAAAGTTACGTTTTAGTCACATAACATTGGTTAATGGAAACGCCATCATTTCGCAATACTTTTTTATTGACATTTATAAAATATCGCCAAAGTTTTGCGCAAATCTGTAATGGAAACGCGCCTATTGTCTTGCATCCCAGTGTAGGTACGTCAGAGAAATTATTGTGCATGGGTGACCAGGAAGTAGCCAAAGCCTCTAGATAAGAATAAGGGTGCTTGGTCTAGAGTCTTCATTAACCGAGAGGCCAGGATAACATAGCCCCCGACTGACCTTTACATTACACTGGATTCCAAGGACTTTGCAAATAAGTCTCTGAATGCTACCTAATACGACAGCTTTACTTTGCAATATAACAAATTACTTTGTGAGACATAAATAGGATTACAGCCAGACCATAAACATGTATGCATGTGTAAGTTTATGTATGCCCTGCTGCCAGGCAAATTGCTCTACATTAAATGAAAAATTAGGTAAAAGGTGACTGTGGGGAAGTGTGCTAGAATACGACCCTGTTACCATAATGCACATAACATGAGATACTAGACACCCGCCTGTGGAAATAGGTATAAGATTACGTAACAGCAGACCTTGCAGATTGCTATGGATTAGACAGAGGCAGGAAATATGAGAAGGTAAATAACATCACAGGAATTCTAGATGTGAATGTATTTCTGGCATTGTTTATCTGATCATCCAGCTTCCATTTCTATGAGCTTAAATGTCGCTGGACATAATTTACAGACCTTTAGCCTTAGCTTGAACTTGATGCATATCTTAAGAAAAGATGAAAACATCTGGACACCAGTCGTTTAGACCACTCGCATGCACCAGTGCAACAATAAGTAGTACGCCCTTATTTTCTGTAGATATTTACAGTTACTTTAGATTGGGCGTTAGTATTGCTTAAGAGCCTCAAGTATTACTAGGGGTGGGAGAATTGGATTTATTGTGATTCTTGGACCCACTTTATATTAAGTGGCCGTAACAACTATGTACTTACATTTAAATTAATCATTTGGTACAATGCACTTATTGTGTACATACATGTTTTTACATTGTACTTATATTTAAAAAATACCTGCATGTAATTACATCTGTAATTAATTTCTGTAATTACATTTATAATTACACTGTTGACCCATCCCTTACACCTTAACCCACCCTTAAACCTACCCATACCACCAAACCTGTCCCTAACCGTACCCGTTTCCCACCTCAATAGCAGCAAAAGTGTTTTACAATACAATATGAACACAATAAGTACATTGTACAATTTTTTTTGATGTAAGTACATAGTATTTAAGGCCATTTAATATAAATTGGGATCTGAGTCTTTAAGTAATGATTCTCAGTTGAACCACATGTGTTAACATTAAATAATACTAATTAAAAATAATAGCTTACATGGAATAAAAAATATTTTACAACATTAATTAATATTAGTTAATGTTAATTTTACATATACTAACACATTTTTAACATTTCAGTTCAGTGAAAGTTACTTTAAAATGAACATCATATACATTTAGAATGTTATAAAGTATATCATTTCAGATTAATAAGTGTTGTGAAAAAATTAATTTCATGATAGTTCAGATACATAATG